AGAGGAAAACTTCTGGAATTTAACTTCTTTCATCTAATACATTTCCTCACAACATGCTGCCAGCATCACATTCTGGTCACTTACTATTAAAGTGAGATGCTTTTTTTTTTTTTTTTTTCTTTCCTTTTTGAGACAGGGTCTTGTTCTATCACCCAGGCTGGAGTGCACCGGTGATTATAGATCACTGCAACCTCGAAATACTGGGCTCAAGTGATCCTCCTACCTCAGCTTTACAAGTAGTTGGAACTCTAGGCACACATCACCATTTCTGGCTAATTTTTTATTTTTCATAGAGACAAGGTCTTGCTATGTTGCTCAGGCTGGTTTTGACCTTCTGGCCTCAAGCGATCCTCCCAACTAGGCCTCCAAAGATTACAGGAGTGAGCCATTGAGCCTGGCCTGAAATGCTTTTTCCTTTTTTTTCCCTTTTTTTTTTTTTTTTAATGAAAATACAGGACATGGAGATGTGGAAAGACACCTTGCTTTATTACTGTTATTATTTCTATAGTATAATTCATATATCACAAAATTCACCATTTTTAACCACACATTTCAGTCTTTTACCATATTCCAAAAGTTTCACAACCATCTCTACTACCTCATTCCAGAATATTTTCATAATGCCAAAAACCATGCCTGTACCTACGGGCAGTCACTCTTCAATTCCCCCATTCTTGCTGTCTCTGACAACCACTAATCTATTTTCTCTAGATATAGATGTACTTGTTCTGGGCACTTCCTCTATAGGGAATAACAAACTGTGACATTTTCCATCTGTTTCTTAGCATATTGTTCTCAAGTTTCATCCTTCGTTACATGAACTTTTATGGCCCAATAATATGCCACTATATGTTACACCACATTTTGTTTATTCATCAACTGATGGTGGTTTAAGATGTTTCCACTTTTTAACTATTAAGAATAATGCTGCTATGTACAGCTTTGTACAAGTTTTTGAGTGAACACTTGTTTTTCATTTTCTTGGTTATAAGCCTACGAGTGCAATTGCTGCATCATATGTCACTTTATGCTTTACTTTTTTTTTTGTTGTTAAATTTTCGAGGAACTCACACACTGTTCACCAAATTCAGTAGCTATGCCATTTTACATTCCCAACAGTAATATGTGAGAATTCCATATTCTCCATAACTTTCCAAACATGTATTGTCTTTATTTTTTTCTTAAGTCATAGTAGTGGGTGTGAACTGGTATCTCATTTTGGTTTAAATTTACATTTTCCTAATGATGAAAAACATTGAACATCTTAGCATGTGCTTCTTGGCCATTTGTGTGTTTCCTTAGAGAAACCTCTACTCACAGCTTTTTTTCCCATTGTTAAATTGGGTCGTTTGTCGTCTTTTGCTCAGTTATATGAATTCCTTATACACTCTAGGTATTAGACCTGTGTCAAATATATAATTTGGAAATAGTTCTCCCATGATGTGGATTATCTTTTCACTTCCTTGACAGTGTCCTTTGAAGCATATAAGTTATTATTTTAATGAAGTCCATTTCTCCATCTATTTTTGGATTGTTTGTGCCTACTTAAAAAATGTCTAATCCAAAGTCACAAAGATTTGTACCTGTTTTCTTCAAGACATCGTTTTTTAAAGGAGAACTTTCCTGGGTTGTAGAGGAGGGTGGACATGGTTTATTTATGCCTCCTGTCCATTACCGATGTTTCTCCTGATTGTAATCCATATGCTCACCACCCCTCCATGGAGCATCCATGGCCTGTAACAGAGCTCTGGGGACTGATATCCTTCCACTGACTTTGGTGCTGGTGAGAGCCCTGGTCATGTGGTTCAGCTTGGCCTTAACCCAACCCAGTTGCACATATTCCTCAGGCCCTTTAGAGTTGAAGCTGAGAGCCTCTCTGAGAATGCTTGCCAGCCCATGCTGTTCTAAGGCTGGAGCAAACTTCCTCTGTCTATTCCAGACAGAGGAGATTGCAGGGGTTGGACTCAGTCAAGACATCTCTGGTGTTAGAAAGTAGACCTGTTTCAGGGTTTGGAGAAGATTGTTCAATATGAACTAGGTCCTCTCCAATTATTTTTACTGTATGTGTGACTTCTTTCCAGAAACAAAGGAATAAATAATATTTTGCTTAGAACATTCTGTCTATTCTTTGTCAATTGTTGTTTGTCTACAACTTTCACATGGATAAAAAGGGGAGTTCAGTGTAAATATATTCTTAACAATTAATTATGGTTCATGTCCTCTGCCACGGGATCATATTTAAATCTATGAACTAGCCTGTTACTTAGGTATTATCCTGTTCCCGATGAGAAAACAAACTCAGAAAGATGGGAAAATTTCCCTAGGTCACATATGTGTGTGTGGGGGGGGGGGGGTTTGTATACATACATATGTCTTAAGAATCATTAATTAGACATATATGTGAGTATCTATTTCTGGATTCTCTCTTCCCTTCCACTGATATATATTCTATTTTTTTTCAACAAAACACATGATTTTCATAGCTGCAGAGTAATTCTGGAAATAGGTAGTGAATTCATTCACCATTATTCTATTATAATATTGCTCCTTTATTATTCTTGATCATCGACATTACCATATAAATAGTAGAATCAACTTGTAATTTTCTACCACAATGCTGCTTGGAATTTTTATTAGAATTGCATTGGATCTGGAAATCAACTGATGAAAAGCTGACTTTTAAAACATAACTCTTCTGATCCATGACAAGGTTTATCTCCCCACTAATTGAGTTCTTTCATAATTTCTTAAAGCAATTTTTTGTAGTTGTTGGTGTACTGGCCAAACATACATTTTGTTGATTTTCTTTCTTTCTTCTCTCCCTCCCTCCTTACCTCCCTCTCTCTTTCTTTCCTTTTTTTTTTTTTTTTTTTTTTTGAGACAGAATCTTGCTCTGTTACCCAGGCTGGAGTGCAGTGATGCAATCTCAGCTCGCTGCAACCTCTGCCTCCCAGGTTCAAGTGATCCTCCTGTCTCAGCCTCCCCAGTAGCTGGGACTACAGGTACATGCCACCACACCCAGCTAATTGTTTGCATTTTTAGTAGAGACTGCGTTTCACCATGTTACGCATGATGGTCTCAATCTCTTGACCTCATGATATGTCCACCTCAGCCTCCCAAAGTGCTAAGATTATAGGTGTGAGCCACTGCGCCCAGCCTGTTGAATTTATTTATAAGAAAACATGTATTTAGATGTTACTTTAAATGACACTGTTTTTTACTTCTTTTTGCAAATGCTCATTGCTAATATACAGAAATACACAAGACTACTTATATCGAGCTTATATTCTGTAACATTATCAAACTCACTAATTACTTTTGGTAGATTTTTGTAGATTTCTAGGATTATTAACATACACAGCCATTATCTGTGAATAAAGACAATTTCAATTCTTTCTTTTCAATCTTTTCAATACTTTTATTTATTTGTCTTACCTTATTGCATTTAGATCTCTAGTATAATGCTGAATTGAAAGTGTACCAATAGATATTCTACTTTTTTCTCTGATTTAATAGAAAAGCATTCAATTTTATGCCATTTAATATAATGTTACCTGTGAGTTTTTTTCAAATCTATCCTTAATGGGGTTAGAAGTGTTGCCTTCTATTTTTATCATGCTGAGAGTTTTCTGGGATTTGTTTTTATAAAAATCATGAAAAAAGTTTTCAATTTTGCCAAATGCTTTTACTGTGTATGATAAGGTTATCATATGGTTTTTCTCTTTTGCCCTGATAATATATAAAATTATATTTTTTAAATATAAAAAAGATTTCTTGAATCAAGCCAGGACACTTTTTTTAATTATAAAATTTAACAAATATATCGAAATATAAATTACATGCAATTGAGATTTATTAAAGTATAATCAAGTATATTAATGTGTATAATTAAAGTGTATAATTTTAAGAGCTTGAGCACAGTATACACAAGTCAAAGAGACATGACAGAAAATACTAAGGATTCCTCAGCATATGTGATTTATCTTGGTGAATGTTCTATGTGAGTTTGAGAAGAGTTATTTGTTAGCTGTTCTTAGATGTATTTTGCTTAAATGTCGACTTAACTAGCTTGTGTCATTGATTGTGTGAATTAATTTTGTTCTAGTGGGCAGGAAAATTACTGTCTGATCACTTTGGACTTATGTGGACTTGGTTTATGTTTTATTAAAATGAATGCATGGAAAGCCCATAGCATTTCCCAAGACCCTCTAATTTGGCAATCACCAATCCACCGCTTTGTGGATTTTGTCAGGGTTTGGTTTTAGGCTTTATTAGGGTTGGTCTAGAATAGGCCTTACTGTAAAGTGTGACACTTATTCCTAAAGCACAGTCATTCTAGTGTCTCAGTTGGATACCCGGGTGCTAATGAAGTGTGTGTGAGTTCTTCCCACCCTGGATGGCAGAAACTTCATCATCCATTCCCCAACCCTCCTCCACCTCAAGTACCTCTGGTCCAAACTCAATTTGACAGCAGCCACCCCTCTGTTAAATCTGTTTGTCTTTTCCTTGTGCAGGTACAGTCCCGTCCTTGATAAGTGTGCACATGGAACCCCTCATGGACTTCGACAGCTGCCCCTCTGAACAGCTGTCTCCTCATTGCTGCCCTGCCCCACAGACTGCAGTTGCTTCAGTGGACTTCAACTCTGATCTCTGCCTTCTCACCTCAGTGGGGCTGTCCTGCTCTGAGTGGACTCCAGCCCACGATGCAGCTGCTGAAAAATTCTCCCTAAAGAACTAGGAAATCATGGGGGCCCCCCCCCTTTAGTTTCCTGTTGTACTGCCTGTTGTCCACTGTCTGAAAACAATTTTATGCTTGTTTATGGAGGCAGGATTAGTCTGATATGATTTATTCTAGGGGAAACAACCAGAAATCTGTTATACTCTTTTAATTACTGTGTCTTTATAATATTATGGTCAAATCCTAAGATGACCCCCAGTGATCTTTGTTCTCATATAATCACTTCTTCCTGACTGTAGACAAAGGCCAGTGACATCACTCCTGTGATTGTGTTACAATTTAATGCAAAAACAAGTTAGCAGATATAATTGAGATCTCAGATCAGTCAAATTTAATATAGAGAGATGATCTTATGAGCTTGACCTAATGAAGGTGAGTTCCTTGGAGGGACTGAGGTCTTCCTGGAGAGATGTGAAGTGCAGGAGGGTTTCCATTCAGGACGAGTCTCCTCTTCTGGCTGGAGGAAGCATGTATTGGGAACATGGGAGGCCTCCAGGAGCAGCGAGAGGCCCCTGGCTGACAGTCAGCAAGAAAATAGAGATCTCAGTTCTACAGTCACAAGGAACTGAACTCAGCTGACAACCTGAGGAAACTAGACAGCAAATTCTTCCCCAGAAACTCCAGAAAGAAACCCAGCCTAATTTCAGCCTGTGAGGCCCTGAGAAGAAGACCCAGCTAATCCAGGCCTCAACTTCTCATCTGTGGATACTGCCAGAAAATAAATCAGTCTTATTTTAAGACTCTAAAAGCTAGCAGTAATTTAGCATGCAGCAATAGAAAATTAATACAAACAAAATGGAGAAGACGTTGGAGTGGGGACAAAAATGAAACGGTGGGAGAGGGATGCCTGTATGCTGATATGGTTGATGCCTGTACGGTTGAATTGGGTCTACCATTCCTCATCTAATTAGCTTTGGTCTATTAAGCTGCATAGCTACACACAAACATTGGTACTAGGTTGAATCCAGAGGAGTAAGATATTGCATTCTTCAGAGTAGACGAGAACACTCTGAATTTGGGGTCACTGGATCATACGTCATATAGCAGGTCCCTCTGGGAAGGCCTAGAGGAAGATTTACAGGATACACTTGAAACAACATTGAAGGCTTCTTTGTTCCCCAGAGGGACCCGATCTCCTCTCAGTCAAGAAGATCCAAGTCTCTGAACTGGATGCCAAGTTATAAATTCCCACTATACTGACTCCATCAAGCTTCTGTCCTCAGAACTAGAGTTTATCAATAAAAGATGGACTCAAGGGAGTCTAGGCATTTATTCTCCTATTTTATACAAATCAGTTAATGTGTATGAACAAAACAGACTTTGAAGAAAGTAAATCACAGCTGCCACAGGAAAACAGCTTCAACATCCTCATCAGTCATCAGGGGTGTTCTGTTGAGAGGACTTGATATGAGGCTTTCCTCATCATGGGCTAGCACAGACTCGCGGGGAAATGTCATCAAGTCCTCAATTCGGAGTGTAGCAGCCTGGGCTGTTGATTCGTTAGGCCTCCTGCTGCTGGAGATGCAAGTAGTGCATTTTCATGGCCACCACAGGTGCCCTTAGGTTAGCATTCTTCAGAGCCAGAATCTAACAAGCCACAGAAGCTCTGAGTATCTCCCTTTCCTCAGTCACTCACATAAATGACTTCAGGTCCTTCAGGGGGAGGCCTGAAGGAAGATTGACAGCATACACTTGCGGCAACATTGAAGGCTTCACTCTTCCTCAAGGGATCCATCTCCCCTCAGTCAAGAAGCTCCAGGCATCTCAACTGGATGCCAGGTCATAAATTCCCACTATGGTGACTGCATCAGGTCTCTGTCCTCAGAACTACAGCTTTTCTAATTATTACAAAAGTTCATTCCTTACTAGATTTCCCATCCATTACATTCCCAGACACCTCACAATGATTAGTAACCACCACATAACCCTACCTCTCAAAGAAATCCCTCCCGCCTTGTCTCTAGATGGCCAAGTCCCACGGCCTGTCCTCTGCTCTTCCAGAACCCTGTTCTTCTCACTGACAGCAGCAAGGGCAAATCCATGCAGCATCTCCCGCCATGACCTCCAGTTTGCAGACAGTAGGTACCACAGGTACTTGACAGTCACGCCACTGTTCCCCTCACCCGTGCATTTCTTAATGCCTTGGTGAGGAGAATGTTTCTGGATCTTCCTTGATGGGAGCTAAAGGAACAAAGGTAAACAATGCTATGGGACCCACTGAGAATTGGGGCTATGGAAGAGTGACCACTGAAGTAACAGACAGATGCAGATATTGCCAGATACTCAGTGCCAGAGCAGGGAGGGAGAGGGAAGAAATACAGACCTCACCTTCCTCTCACTTCCAGGCTCCATCAGGTGCCCTCTATTGCTAAACCTAACTAGAAGTATGTACACAGGGGAGCCAGGGATGCATTCTAGAAGGGACAAGCACCAAGTGACATAAGACAGGATGGAAATGAGTGGAGAGTGGATCTGTGGGAAGGAGGAGGGGATGATATGGGGAAACAAAAGGAGAATACTAGCTAATAACGCTAGGTGACACTAACATTCCAAAGGCTGTGCTCATATTCAGAAAAGAAAGTTCAGCATAAAGTACTAAACCAGGAGTCAAGATACTGTATTTTCAACTGCTGTTCCAACAGCTGTATTATAAAGGGCCAGTTTATGTCATGCCTTTCTAATTTGACCTAAAGTGCCAGGTGGCACTGGGGCTGGCACAGCCGTGCTCAACTATGTGTTGGAGAGTACACAGAGACTGCCAGGCTGAGGGAAGACACAAGAGAATAGAAGAGATGCTCTCAGGGAACGAGAGACCACACAGCCCCAGAGTCAGGGCAGCATCAGCCACTGTCGGCTGCTCATTTTCCCAGACACAGCCCACAAGCCTCAGCCATGCTGTGCTTTGCAAGACGCTTCTTCACCTTTTCAATAAACCTCCCTGAATTGAAGCTGACGGGGGTTTATTTCTCCTTCATCATCAATTAAATTCTTCACCGCAACAATCTCCAATGAATTTTGGACACAGCAGGCAGGCCCATCCCTGCTTCTGTTCCACTATGTCCCCTGTAGCTTGAAAAGGAGGACGTACTGAACTACCACCAAATGTTCCTCTGGCTCTGATATTCCGTTATTCTGGTTTCTTTTTGGCTACTTTGTTTTTGGAAGCATGCATCCTAAGGCATCCAGTTGAACAAACTTTGTCTACTGTGTCCAGGCATTCCTGGTGGGATTTCAGATAAGACACTCTTGGGTTGCTACACTCACAACCACTGAACCAATTCTATGACCATCTGTTTCATGGCCACATGTCTGTTCATTTTATACGAACATAAAGGGAGGGGACAGACAGCAAACTCGCATGTTATAAATTGTACCATCTTAAAAAGGAAATAAGGCAACACTTTACGATAAAACCTTAAGATGCATTAAATTTAAGTCTAATGCAATAAAGAATGCCCATAAAATTCCTATTTAAAGAATGTTTAGAAAATTGTTGAACAATGGACATCATCATTTAAAGTGATATGAAGAAATCTTCTCAGCTAAACATATGGGCTAGGTTAGAGAGAAAGATAGAGGACCCATCTCTGCCCTGGAAAAACTACTGGTAGCATCTTTCAAAAAGTTCTCTGTGTTTGAGTACGCACCTTCATCCACAGGCTCACATTGGATTCCAACTGGCCGCTGCTTCTTGGCATTAACATTGGATTCCCTACTAGTAAATCTTACCAAGATCTGAGTTTCTGCAGATACGATATTATTTTGTTTGACCATCCTTATCTTCAAGGGCTACCAAGAAGGAACAAAGAATTTATTTACCTCCCCAAGGGTAAAGATTTTACCAATGAGACACTTTCTTACTATGACACCAGGGCCCCCTATGCCCTGTTCACTTCAGTGCCCTTTGTGCCCTGACAGAAGCTCATGCTGGTCCCAGGATTCCTTATATGATTAACCTCCTTCCTGAATCCCAACTTCATGCTGGTGGTGATGACAGGTGTCCTGTATCCCATGCTCATGTCCCTGAAGTCATCAGCCTGTCTCCAGTTAGAAAAAATTACATGTGGCCGGGCGCGGTGGCTCAAGCCTGTAATCCCAGCACTTTGGGAGGCCGAGGCAGGTGGATCACGAGGTCAGGAGATCGAGACCATCCTGGCTAATATGGTGAAACCCCGTCTCTACTAAAAATACAAAAAACTAGCCGGGCGTGGTGGCGGGCGCCTGTGGTCCCAGCTACTCGGAGGCTGAGGCAGGAGAATGGCGTAAACCCGGGAGGCGGAGCTTGCAGTGAGCTGAGATCACGCCACTGCCCCCCAGCCTGGGTGACACAGCGAGACTCCGTCTCAAAAAATAAAAAATGAAAAATAAATTACATGTATATAGACAGGCCTCTTTGCAAGTAGCAAAAGCTTTCTCACCTTCATACATTAAGGGCTTGGAATGTACAATAGTATAAACACTTTGGGGAAAAATGTCTGGCATCTTCTTACAGAAATAAACAACTACCTACTCTATGACTCAGTAATTCCTAAGCATTTACCCAAGAGAAATTAAAACATATGTCCAGAAAATGATTTATACAAGAATGTTCATAGCACTTTTATTCATAAGAGGAAAAACTGGAAACATTCAAGCATCTGTCAATACAAGAATGGATTAATAAATGGTGATACATTCATTCCATGGAAAGCCTAAAGGAACAAACTGTTGACACACAAAACAACATGGATGAATCTCAAAAACATTTTGAGTGCAATAGGAGCCATACACAAAAGAGTATGAACAATCTCTTGAGAAAAGAGATGAACAATCATGGTCTCAAGAAATGCAGAGCAGAGAGCCCAGAGGCAAAGACTCACAGGACAGCGGGTCGGTCCCAGGCTGTGGATCCTAATTAAAAAACTCCTGCTGGATTTTGCCCAGCTCCATTTCCAAACTATTGTGGGTCAGTGACTTCTTTATCCCTTCCTTGTTCCCTCATTTTGAACTAGAATCACTGTAGTTGTTATTCCATGTCTGTCCCGTCATTTCACATTAGGGGAAGATAAGCTGTTCGTTCCGTTTCACAGGTCAACGGAGGAAAGGGAATTATATCAAGGATCTGTACTTAACGGACACCCTCAGAAGCCTCATCCACACCTGGTGTGGATGTTTTAAATGGGATTTTAAACTTTTCATCTGATATGTTCTACATGACATTTTTCATGTTGAACTAATGCTTTAATGACATGAAATTCGGAAACCTTAGGGGAGAGGGTGAATGCATTTCGCAGTTGGGGGAATGTGAATACTGCGGTAGATGGAATTTCTGAAATGGTCCCCAAACATGCCACACCCTTGTCTCTAAAGCCCATTAAGGTGATGAGACACCATTCCTGTGATTATGTTGTTATATGCCAGTTATATGACTTTAAGCTGGTGAGGTTACCTGCATGAACTGGATCTAATCACATCACTCCATACATGACAACTTTCTGGGGCTGGTTGGAGAAGCTGAAGTTAGAGAAGATAGGAGCTTGAGAAGGACTCCATGAGCTGCTATTGGTTGATAAAGGAAAAGACAGATAAGGAGGAAAGCAGGGGACCTCTGAAGTCAGAGTGTCTCCTGGCTGACAGTCAGCAAAGATGAAGGGCCCTCAGTCCCCCACAAACAAGCATAGGAACTCTTTCAATATCTGTAGTGAACTGGGAGAAATCGCTTAAGCTCTAGAAGAAAACACAGCCAGCCCATTCCTGGATTTTCACCTCACATGACTCTGAGCAGAGAACCCAGACACTTCATTCCAGACTTCTGTGTTTTCAAACCACTGGTTTACAGTAATGTGATAATTGGCAGCAAGAGAAAACTAGTACAGGTGTCTGTCTCTCCTCTTGAATTTCAATTTCAGACACATGGATGCTAACCCCTCTATGAGAGAAAATCAATCAACCAATCAATGAATGAAAGAACTATTGCAAAAATATTGCCCTCACTCTTATGTGGCTGTTCCAGAGCCCTTGCCACCTGAAGAAGACAATGAGGGGTATTTCAGGCACATGGGGAGCGTGGCTTTACCGTTATCAATCACATTTCTGAAAGCATAAAAATGGTTCAGGTCGGGCCGTGGCTCATGTCTGTAATCCTAGCACTTTGGGAGGCCAAGGCAGGTGGATCACTTGAAGTCAAGAGTTAGAAGCCAACCTGGCCAACACGGAGGAACCTTGTCTCTACTAAAAATACAAACATTAGCCAAGCGTGGTGGCAGGCACCTTTAATCCCAGCTACTCAGGAGGCTGAGGCAGGAGAATCACTTGAACCCAGGAGGTGGAGGTTGCAGTGAGCTGAGATCGCACCATTGCATTCCAGTCCATGGAATAGAGAAAAACTCCATCTCAAAAAGGAAATAAATAAATAAATAACAAATAAAGATAGTTCATTACTTAACTCCACATATTATTACATGAAAATGTATCATCTCGATTTTAACAGCAGATTTTTTAAAATTCCTTTCCTTGTGCTCACCAGACAAGGTCTGGTAGCAAATACCGGTCACCAACACAGATTAACCAATTCAAGGAGAGCCATAAACAGGACTACTGTTATGTTTCCCAAAAAAACCATCCCTAGAATGCAATCTCTTCTCTACTTGTCACAAAATGAACACAATAGTCCACTATATAAAGTCCCAAACACATGAAAATGTAAATACAATGAAGTCTGCTTTCCAAATATTCATTCTCTTCCAACCCAGTCATGGGGACCAGGGATTAGGAAATGACTACAAAGAGGTTCAAGGGAATTTGGGGAAGCGACAAAATGTGCTGAAGTAGAAACTCTGCCGATGGCTGCACAATTCCATAAATCAGCTGAAATCACTGAGTCGTATGTTGACAACGGGTGACTTTTATAACAAGCAATTCTTTAAACAAACTTTTGGGTTTCTATTCCAACGCAGAAAGAGCTAGGGAGCCATCACTTGTCCTCACAGCTAGCAAAAGGCTACAAGGTGCAAAACCCTAAGAATCCTAGGAGATAACATTCGAGAAAATCTCACGGATCTTGGGTTCAACGATGGCTTCTTAGATACAAAACCAAAAGCACAATATACTAATGAAAAAAAATTAAGTTGAATCTCATTAAAATTAAAAACTTCTGCTCTGTGAAAGACACTTAAGAGAATGGAAAAAGCAAGTCACAGACTGGCAGAAAATATTTACAAAATAATCTGGTAGGAAAACTTCTCTCCAAAATATATGAAGAATTCTGAGAACTAAACAACACAAAGCCAAAAAAAAAAAAGAAAAAATTGGTGAAAGATCTGAATACCTCATTAATAAGATACACAGATGGCAAATAAGCATATGAAAAAGATGCTCAAAATCATTTGGGATTAGGGAATTGCACATTAAAACAAAAATGAGATATCACTGTAAACCTACTAGAATGGCTAAAATTCAAAAAGGTGAACACACCAATGCTGTCAAAGATGAAAAGCAACCAGAACTCTCCATAGCCAGTAGAAATCAAAAGGGTACAGTCACTCTGGAAAACTTAAGTTCACTCAGAATCCTGCACATAAGTAGTTACAGCAATTTTATTCATAATTGCCAAAAGTTGGAAGTACGCAAGATGTCTTTCACCAAGTGAATGGATAAGCAAACTGTGTTGTAGCCCCACAACGAAATCTGATTCAGTGATTCTAAAAAGCAAGCTATCAAGTCATAAAAAGACATGCAGGAACTTAAAATACATAATGCTAGAAAGAAGTTAGTCTGGAAACCTACATACTGTACGATTCCAACTCTAGGACATTCTTGGAAAGTCAAAAAGAGAGAAGTAGTAAAATGATGAGTGGTTGTCAGGAGTGGAGAGGTAGACGCATGAAATGGTGAAGCACAGGGAATTTTCAGCAGTGAAATTATTTTGCATGATGCTGTATTGGGGATTTAGGACACTATGTAATTGCCAAAACACATAATCTGTGAAACTCAGATGAACTCTAATGTAAACTATGGACTTCAGTTGATAATGATGTATCAATAGCGGTTCATCAATTGTAACGAATGAACCACACTAATACAACATACTTATAGGGGAAATTGTGTGCTGGAGGACATGGGAGCCTAGGGGAACTCTCTGTACTATCCACTCAATTTTTCTGTAAACCTATAACCATTCTAAAAAATAATGTCTATTAATTTTTTTTTTTAAATAGGATGCAGCAGTCGCATATCAAGGTTTTGGTGGCATCCTGTTATTGTGTGGTTAGTACTTGGCATTGAAGTGCACCAACCTGGAGTCAGAGCAGTTGGAGATTTCCAGGCCTGTGCTATTTACCTCGAATCCTGGGGTGCCCCGGAAAACAGCAGATCAGTTAGGGAGAAGCAGCCTCAGCAATCTAGATAGTGCAGGTTTGTGGTAAAGACACGTACAAACCATCTGGGTGGGCAGACCTTGGTGAAGACTAGAAACCACTGAGACTCAGCAGCTGCCCCGGTGGAACCCACAAATCAAAGGAGGGGCTGGAAGGAGCTAAGGGCTACTGGACGAGCTCCCTGCCTGCAAGACAGAAGCAGCTCCAGAGATTCTGGTAAATAATGTAGGTTTCAATACAGTGTGATCTACTCAAAAAAGCAGAGAGAATGAAAAGGAAAGAAAGAGAGCATGAGAAAGAAAGAAAAAGAAAAGCAGAAAGGAAGAAAGGAAAGAAGGGAGGGAGGGAAGGAGGAAGGAAAGGACGAAGGGAAGGAGGGCGGGAGGGAAAGAATAAAGAGAGAGAAAGAGAGTTGGAGGGAAGCAGGGAAGGAAGGAAGGGAGAGAGGGAGAGAGGGAGGGAGAGAGGGAGAGGGAGGGAGGGAGGGAGGGAACAAATTTACATGAAGATGAGAACACTGGGGAACTTACACCACCAATATTTTCCATTAACAGGAACATGCTAACTAGTTACTAGAGAAAGACGCACTACTGTAAAACCATATACTGTCCATGGGGTACAACCCCTTCCTCCTCCTCTGAAACACATTCTCTCGCCCACTATTGCCAGAGGCACTGAGTCTTATCTTTGGATAAGTTCTGCCCACAAGAATGAGAGGAGATAGTGGACCCGAGAACACCAGGCCACGACCGTCCCTACTGATCCTTGTCCACTCCAGAAGTTACCTGGCTGCAGTTAGTGGCCTCAGCCCCTGGGTCTGATGTCATCCATTTACCTTTCTCACTGGACTTCTCTCCTTGCACTTGCTCCCACTCCCCCAGGACCTGGTGGGCGGCCACGTGAGAAGGACACAAACAAATCATGCCCCTTTCTTTCTCCCCCTCCCAATGCCTGCAGTGCTGGGTTCCGTGGGGTAGTGGCCTGAGATTTATGGGGCCTCTAGCCCAGAGCAAGACCTGCTACCTAATAGTCACCCCATGAAAGCACAGGGAAAGAAGGCATCCACCACAAGGTCCTGGGGAACCAAGAATTCCACTGTGGCCCATAAATTCTAAGTCCTACAGGATTCTGGAATGGGAGATGGGACAGGCCTTCAAAAGTGGCCACTCTTTTAACCCATTATACTGTCAACTGAGCCATGTTTCCCCATCCTGGACACATCTAGAGGGCACTGCCTAAAACCAGACACATCTCCCCATCCAGGAGAGAGTAGGGGCCTGAGCCTGGGGGATGCAGGGGGACAGGGAGGGGATGAGCCAAGAAAGCTGAAGAAGAGAAAGCAGGTGAAAGGGGACAGCAGGGTGGAAACAGAGAGAAAAGGGGGCAGACAATGGGGGGTGAGAGGGGAAGAGTGAGGAGGGGGATGCAGATCTAGCTACTGAGGAAAAGTCCTGGAGAGAACACTGTCCTCTCCTGAAGTAAAATCACTTCCACCTGACCACGGCACTGCAGGTCGTGGGCAGCACACGCTGGGAATATTTGTTCATTCATTTAACAAATACTTATTTCATATCTGTTTCATGCCAGGCAAGGCCCTGCGATCTTTAGGGACCTTGGCATCTTCCCTTCACATCTGAGTCACAATACAAAGAGGACTCTCTGACCCCATCGAGCTGGCAATGCCTCGGGATTTTCACCTGTTGGATCCGGCAGCTCTTCATGTCGGCCTACACCGTGTGAGGCTGCTCTTGGTGCACCGAATGGGGAAGTTTCTGCATCAGTGCCTCGGAGAGTCCACCGGAAGCTCTGGACAGTGGGAGTCGGTGGCACCCCAGCATGGAGGCCAAGAGCACACAACAATGAAGCTCCAGACACCCTCAGGAGGACAGGAAGGGACAATCGGCTGGTGAGACCCTGGATCACCAGGAACCTTCGCCTGGGTCGAAACAGGATTTGCCTTCAGATTGCCTGTGAGATAAAAGAGAGAAATTAAGGTTAACATTGAGATTTGGGGCTTCAGCAACTTGAAGGATGGAGCTGCCATTTATGGAGACTGGGAAGACCCAGGGAACAGCGGCTTGAAAGGTGGTGGGGAACTAGAGTTGGTTGGGTTTCTGTCATATGTAATCAACAGTCCTGATCAGACTGGGCAATATAGTAAGACCCCATCTCTGAAAATAAAAACTGAAAAATTAGCCGAGCATGGTGGTGCACACTTGGAGTCTCAGCTACTCGGGAGGCTGAGACAGGAAGATTCCTTGAGACTTCAGTTAGAGGTTAGTGAGCTATGATGGCACCACTGCACTCCAGCCTGGGGGGAAAAAAAATAAAGAGTCCTGACCAAATACTTGAGTAGCCAGGGAAGTTTTCACAAAGTAAGTAATATTTGAGGCACATCTTAGTGAACGAGAATTCGATTATTACTGTTAGGGAATTAAGACAATGTGGGTGTAGTTAGTTAATGCTTACTGAACTATCGTCGGAATCTCATCTACTGCTCTATCTGGTCTATCTGTACACATATATTCTATATGCTGTCTCACTGAGCTTTCGCTAGGTTATGCTACAGTAACAAAAGCCCCAAAATCTTAGCAGCTACCCACACAAAGCTTTATTTTTTATTGACGTTTCCTTTTATGGCAGGTTGACTGTGACTCTGTTCTATACAAGCTATTTTATTTGTTAGATGGTGAAAACTGTGATACTTGGAGATTGCTGAATATGGTATTAGTATGTTCATTCATTCACTCATTTAACAAATATTTATTCATTATCTGTTTCATGCCAGGCAACGTCAAGTACTGAGAATATTGTGGTGAATAAAAGAGACAAAATCTCTAATTTCCAGGAGCTAATATTGAAAATAAGATTAAAGACAAACAAAATAATCATAACAACAATGAATATTATATTCATAAATATAGCTGTAAGAGATTTTAGTAAATCTTTTAAATTACAAAAATGTAAAAATTATTAAAACCAAAATGGCCAGGTTTGATGGCTGATGCCTGTAATCCCAACACTTTGGGAGGCCAAGGTGGGAGGATCATTTGAGCCCAGGAGTTTGAAACCAGTCTGGGCGCTACAGGAAAACCCTGTCTACAAAGAAATAGAAAATTAGCCAGGTAGAGTGGTGCATTCCTATAGACTCAGCTACTAAGGAGGCTGAGGTAGGAGGACTGCTTCAGCCTGAGAGGTCAAGGCTGTAGAGAGCCATGATCATACCACTGCACTCCAGCCCGGGTGACAGAGCGAGACACTGTCTCAAGAAAAAAAAAATTATTCGATGTAGTCCTCAAACTATTATGTGGAATACTATTGTTTACATCACATCACATGAGTCCTTTCAATGGCTGAACACTTATTTCAGTGCGATCCAGAAAGCTTTCCTGGGAACTAAGTACACCTAAGAACAATTCAGTATGAAAGAGTTACTGCCTTGACAGGAAGATTGTAAACATTTAAAAAGGCAAATAAATAAATAAAAGAGTGAAAACTGTAGCTCTGTGAGGCTCAAATAACATCTCATTCAACTCACAATGAACACCTTGCAATCATTATGAACACCATATAATTCACTTAATACATTTTGCCTGAACGTCCAACACATCTGAATGACCAGCACCTGTATGTAGCCAAGAAATTGACAATCATTTATAAATTATCACTTATGACTCCATCTGCTCTACGCACTTGTTTTTTTAATTTTATTCATTTATTTATTATTTTTATTTTTTGTAGAGATGGGATCTCACTATGTTACCCAGGTTGGTCCAGAAACACAAACAGACCCACACTAATTTCAGAAATCAGATGACAATACAGTCATTCAATTTATGAAAAAACGTGCCACACGGTGCAGAAGGAAAAGGATGGTCTTTTCAACAAATGCTGCTGGATCAAGCAGACACATCCATGTAGTAAACAGTGATCATAGCCAAGTGGGGTGGCTCACACCTGTAACCCCAGCACTCTGGGAGGCTGAAGCAGGCAGATTACTTGAGCCCAAGAGTTCGAGACCAACCTGGGAAACATGTTGAATCCCCATCTCTACAAAAAATACGAAAATTAGCCAGGCATGGTGGCGCACGCCTACAGTCGCAGCTACTCAGGAGGCTGAGGTGGGAGGATCGCTTGAGCCAGGAGGTGGAGGTTGCAGTGAGCTGACATGCTGCCACCACACTCTAGCCTGGGCAATAGAGTGAGGCTCTGTCTGAAAAAAAAAAAAAAAAGCAAAAACTAAAATAAAATTGTTATAAGGTTAACACACAAAAATGTGTTCATACTCTTAGGTTAGGCGTTGATTTCTTAAACAGGACACAAAAAGTAGTAACCATCAAGGAAAAGATTGATAAAGTATAATTTCATTAAAATTAAGAATCTCAGGCCGGGTGCAGTGGCTCATGCCAGTAATCCCAACACTTTGGGAGGCCGAGGCAGGTATATCACGTGAGCCTAGGAATTCCAGACCAGCCTATGCGACGTGGCAAAACTCCATCTCTACTAAAAATACAGAAAAGAGCTGAGTGTGGTGGTGCTCCCCTGGAGGTCCCAGCTACTTCTGGGCTGAGGCAGAAGCATCACCTAAGCCTTGGGAGGTCAATGTAGTGGTAAGCTGAGATTGTGCCACTGCACTCCAGCCTGGGCAACAGAGTGAGACCCTGTCTCAAAAAGAAAAAAAAAAAAGTTAGAGAATCTCCATTCATGAAAAAACACCATTAAAAGAGTAAAAAGGCAAGTTACAGATTGAAAAAAGGGAAATGCAATACATATATATCCTAGAAAGGATGTATATCCAGAATAAAGTATTACAAATCAACAGAAAAACAAGCAAGTCAATGAAAAGTGGATAAAAAGATTTAATAGGCACTTCACAAAAGAGGGCATAAAAATGGCAATAAAAGATAATCAATTAAACCACACTGATACATTACTGCACCCCTACTAGAATGGCAAAATAATTTTTAACTGACAGGCATCAGCAAGGACATGGGGTAACCAGAATATCCCTGCCAAATGGTACAACCACTTTGGGAAAATGTTCAACAATATGTAATACTAAAGTTTTATCATTCATATACCTCTAAAACCAACAATGCCACTCCTATAAATATACCCCAGTCTAGTACTGTTCTATTTCTTGAACTGTGGTGTCACGGTAAAAATTACTTTTTTTTTTTTTTTTTTTTTTTTTGAGACAGGGTCTCACTCTGCCATCCAGGTGGGAGTGCAATGCCATGATCATGGCTCACTGTAATCTCAGCCTCCCGGGCTCTGGTGATCCTCCCACCTCAGCCTACTGGGTAGCTGGGACTACAGGCACACACCACCACACACAGCTAACTTTTGTATTTTTAGTAGAGACAGGGTTTTGCCACATTGCCCAGGCTGGTCTGGGAATCCTAGGCTCAAGTGATCTACCCACCCTGGCGTCCCAAAGTGCTGGGATTACGGTGTGCTCTACTGCGCCCGGACCACCTGCACTTTTAAAATAGTCAACTTCTTCTGTATACTTCAGTACCTTTTCAAAGATTTCTTTGACACAAAGTTCTCAGAAATCTTAAAGCTAGCATTTCAGAATAGAAAAAAATAGCTTCTGCTTCACTGGTGAAATTTTACTAATAAAATTTAAAAACAGAAAGCTACTAACGCACATCAGCTCCGAACAAAGATTAAACACTACCAGCAGATCTTTCTTTAACTTCGTGAAGCACTGGGATTCATTCTTTCGGCAAAGAAAGGATGAACAACACTGTAACCCAAAGAAAAGATACCACTTGAGAAAAGACTTCTTTTCCAAAGCAGCTCTAGCAGCAAAAGACAGGAGGAAAGCGAGGAAACCATGTCAAACGTCCTGGTTAACTCTTCAGTGAAAGGAAGCCAAATGAGATGATCTAAGAAGCCAGAAAGACAGACAGACAGACAGACAGACAGACACAGGGAAATCACAGCAACTCTTTGCAGTGCAAACACCAACCCCACAGTCCATCCTACTGGAAATCCTGCGGTTAATTTGAGGCTTGCCCCGCTAGTCATGAATCATGAGGTGATTCGGTGATGGCCACAAACGCTCCTCATGTGCATCCTGGACCTGGCACACCTGGCTTGCCCATCGCCAGCCTGGAGACACCGCCAGGAGCAGAATCCCGGAGGCCAATAAAGACTCCAACTTTGCAAGCAGAGGGAACCGATTTCTGGACTCGAAGGTGGGGTCCGGGGTCAGTGTCCTCTACAGGATATAGGAGGACGTGCCCCCGAAGCTGCTCCGTCCCTCCAGTGCCTGCGATGCCACACAACACCCGCCAGCGAATTTCCTCCCCAGCGCGCACCAGAGGTGGGCTGCGGGCGGCAGCAGCAGGGGAAGAATCGAGCTCAGGGAACTCAGGCCCCGGCCGTGCACCCCCCACACCCACCACCCCTCGCGCTACAAAACTTGCCACCGCCGCGCCTCAATCCAGCTGTGCGCCCGCGAGTCCCGGATTCACCGCCCGCCCAGCCGGACGGGGCGTCCTCACCTCGGAAAGGCTGGGTTGGACTTCGCGGTAACTTCCCATCCAGAGGGCAGCCAGCAGCCGCGCCGCCGCGCCTCGGCCCAGCTCCTGGCGCAGCAGGTCGCCAGTCCCGCGTTCCAAAAGCGCCATGCTCACTCAGAAGCTCAGGCAGCCTCGCGACCCTCACCAACCACTCCCAGTACCGCCGCGGTCTCAACCGCCAGCCAGCCCCGCGCCCGCGCCAGCCCGCGACTGGCTCCTCAGGATCAGGCTCGGCGGAGTCAGGAGAACCCAAGGCGCAGGCGCGGCGGGGTCTTAAAGGGACCGGGCCGCCTCTACTGCATAACGGTTCCAGCAGGTTACGGGCCTCGCGGGCGGAGAAAAGGAGTAACCGAGGGGATGGACCCAGTGCAGCGGGGATGGGGAAATCCCTCTCTCCCCTCCGCCTCTCTTTCAAAACACCAGCCCTCCACTCTGCAAATCGCTGATTTTCCCGGCCACTTGAACCGCCCCTGCCAGGTTAAAGAGGCAGGAGACACACCCCCTCGGGGCCCCGAGGGACCCCGCGCTTAGCACTGCAGGCCTGGCGCTGCCGCACCGCCCCGGAGTCTGACTTCCAGGCCCGGGCACGCGGTGCAGACGCGCAGGCTTCAGAAGGCAGCCCCCAGTTCCCCCGACAGGTGGCCTTAGGTCACTCGCAGAAAAAAAATCCAACGTGTCAATGGCACTTGTAGTTATTTTCTAATTTAAATTTATAACAGATTTTGCAGATGGGCTCCCACTGAAATAAACCTTTGAGAAAAAGAAAACCTTTTTTTTCAACAAGGTTAGGAAATACCAAGAAATAGGAAGTAAAGCCATGCCGTCCACCCAGCTAAAAACTTTGAAAACTTGATATTTTATCTAAGGAAAATGTTTGCATAACTTTAGGTCATGCCATTATTTAAAATCAATTTCAATTAACAATTTCATTGCAACTGAATCTATCGTGTATAAGCAAACAAAGATACATCCCTGATCATCTACCTCTCCCCTCCTATATTCCATCCATCAGCAAGTCCTACTGGTTTTTACCTTCCAAATTTTCCTTGAATGTGTCCTCTTCTGTCTCTTCCATCAGCACCCTAGTCAGGCTACCTTCACCTGGGGAGTGGGGTGGAGGGACTACTGACCTAGTCTTCTTGTGGTTTACGCCTCTCTAATCTCAACACAACTGGCAGAGTGGTTTTTCAAAATATAATGTGACCCTGTCACTTCCCAGCCTAAACCACTTAAACGCCTTCCCATTCTCTTAGACGAAACCTACTAACCAAGCCCTGAATGACCAGGAGCCTTGCCCACTTCTTCATCTCTTCTCACCACTCAGACCAATTCCATTCTCCTCTCTCTGCTCCAGACAAACTGGTCTCTTTTATTCCCTATTTAGCAGCTTCCTGGCCTCCACAGAGCTTTTTCTCATGCTTTGCTCTGTGCTGGGAAGGTTCTTCTAACCCCCATCCTTCTGAGAACAGCTGTAGTCTCCACCTCTGAAAGGCACCTTCTGACCTCCCTATGGTGGTGCATTACTCCTCTCACATTGCATGAAACTGTAATCAGGTGGTTATTTTGGTGAATTTTTTACTATCAGCTACGTAAGCCCAGGGATTTGGTTTTGTTTGGCTCATGATTTGTATTTCCACATTTGTTAAATACATATTGGTTCATAAATGAGAATGATAGGCACTAGAAGTTGAAGTAAATTTGGCATAAAGTCAGAGAAAGGTAAAATGTCACAGTCTGACATTTGGAGTCAGAATGTAGAAACTTCAATTATATTAAAACTGATTTTATATCGTTTTAGGCTGAGTTGTCACAGTATGCTTTGGGTAACCTTTAAAACTGAGTTCTCAAAGAGCCTTGTACAAACACCTGATTAATAATGATAAGCCATGGGATGGCCCACATAAAACTAATAACATTGGTTGCTTCAAGAGAGGAAGACCGAGTCAGGCACAATGGCTCATGGCTGTAATCCAAGCACTTTGGGAGGCCAAGGCCCACAGATCATTTGAGCTCAGGAGTTTGAGACTAGCCTGGGCAACTTGGTGAGACCCTGTCTCTACACAAGATACAAGCAAAATTAGCCGGGTATGGTGGTGGGCACCTGTAGTCCCAGCTATTTGGGAGGCTGAGGTGGGAAGACTGCTTGAGCCCAGAAGGGTGAGGCTGCAGTGAGCCATGATCAGGCCACTGCACTCCAGCCTGGACAACAGAGCAAGATCTTGTCTCAAAAAAACAAAACAAAACAAAACAAAAAAGAGAGAGAGAGAAATGAAGACTGGTGACTGGTGGCTACTGGTGGGAAGGAGATTTTTACTACATGCCCAAAAGGTTTAAAATTGTAACTTTTTTATTTTAAAGTCTGTGAAGATAAATGACAGAAAAGAGCACATACCTTCCCATTTATTTGAAATTCTAGAAAGGGGAAAATTAATCTGTGGTGAAAAAATCGTAACAGTGGTTCCCTCTGGCAGGGGATTGACTGGGAAGGTACATGAGAGAAATTTCTGCGTGGTAAAAATGGTCTCTGTCTTTATAGGGATATGAATTATATAAGTGTATTCATTTGCCAAAAAACATACAGTTAACACTTCAATGAATGTAAATTTTTACCTTAAAAACTATAAGAATAAATACAAATTTAAAATCTACTGGCTAACCCCTAGTTGAGTACTCAATGTCTATGGGTATCGGCCAAGGCTATACATACTCGATTTTGTTTAGTCCTCATACCTTCCTCAAGGGGTAGGTATTATTACCATAATCCCCTTGCATATGAAGAAGCCAAAATGTAGTAAATACCAAATAACTTGCCTCGATTTATATCCCTGGAAAATGGTGGAAGAGCTTTAAACACCATCAGTCAAATGCCAGAAGTTGTTAAACATTAGACCCTATAGCACTTCTCTGAAATTATAGTATTTTTGATATATATATACATCTATATGTGTGTATATATATACATCTCATCTACTAGATCAACAGCTTCACAATGATTGAAATCATAGTTTGTCTTTTTGTTTGTTTGAGGTTTATGTTTTTATTTCATTACTTTAAAGACTGAGTCTCAGCCGAGCATGGTGGCTCACGTCTGTAATCCCAACACTTTGGGAGGCCAAGGTGGGTGGATCACTTGAGGTCAGGAGTTTGAGACCAGCCTGGCCAACATGGTGACACCCCATCTCTACTAAAAATACAAAATTAGCCAGGTGTGGTGGCACGTGCCTGTAATCCCAGTTACTCGGGAGGCTAAGGCAGGAGAATCGCTCAAACCTGGGAGGTGGAGGTTGCAGTGAGCCAAAATTGTGCCATTGCACTCCAGCCTGGGCGACAGAGTGAGACTCCATCCCAGAAAAAAAAAAGAAAAAGACTGAGTCTCACTCTGTTGCCCAGACTGGACTTGGATTCCTTAATTCAAGCCATCCACCTGCCTAGGCTTCACCTGGGACTACAGGCTTAATATTTTTGTCTTAAGTTTCTAAGCAGTCCCAACACTTTGCACAGTAGCTGTTCAATGTATTTTGAGTAAATGATTAAAAACAAGCTTGATGTTGATTTTATTGGTACAATTTATATTTACATATGTAATATTTATATTATATGCTTTTATATATTTATATGTGTGTGTATGTGTATAATTGGTACTAACTTAGCACTGCTGTGCTTAACTGCCTGAGATGCATCTCAAATGAATAGGCCTGAGGAGAGAAGCTTGTGTCATTAGCTCTGACCCTGCAGCACTAATTCTGGTTTACCCCTTTCTTTCAGTCTCCCTGAGCACATCAATTTATTGGCTGAAAGAGCTTACACTTTAACATCTCACCAAAATAGCTCATTCTAACCAAAGAAACTTCTACCAAGTGCTTGATCATTTGCATAAGTGAAATTTCACTGTGTGGGTTTCACCCAACACCACCTCTGCTCCAGCTCCTGCTACTCTACTGCTCATACCCTGGAACTCCACACGTGGAGTAGAAGACGGAGGATGCAGGGTGCAGGGGGCAGCAGCATCCTCCTCAGAGGTTTTATTTGCAGTAAATTCAGGTGCAGCAGGCAAAGCAACAAGGAGTCAAGGTGAGGCAGGAGAATAGCAGAGGGAACTGGGAATTGAATAAAGGTCAAAATGAGTAGGAGCAGAAGCAGGATAAAGAAGTGGGTGAGCATGAAACAAAATAAGCAGAAGTTGAACAGCGAAAACAAAAGTGAGATAAGAGTAGTGACTAAAAAGCTTATGGCTGGCAAGATCCAGAGCAAACCAGTAAGAGGCAGCTCCTCAGAGATAGGCATGTGTATGAGAGAGAAAAATTAGCTTTAAAATGACCCCAGATGATAATCATCTCATTAAAGCTAATGCATATACACTGCATATAATGGATGTACTTAAAACTATGGGATGGAGGCAATGTGGAAGCTCACAGGGGCCAAAGTAACTAAGCAACCCACCTATCAATCAGAGGGCACATGCTGGGTAGAGATTAGGTAGCCCCAGGACAAGGAGAAAAAAAAAGTGTAAAAAGACCCAAAGCCCAAAGTTCACCAAACTTACGCTGATCTCATTGCCCATCCTCCCCTCTCTGAGAGTGTTACTGTGCTTAATGAGTCTTTTGCTGCTTTGCTGTGTGTGTCATGTCCAATTCTTTAAGATACCAAGAACCTGGGACTTCACAACACCAGCCAGTAACAAAGGTATGTAAGCTTGGGAGGGAGGAAAGAAAGGGGAAGGGGGCTAGAGGAGATTCAGACATGAGATGCATTCACCCTGTAAGTTGAACCCTGGTCTCCAGCGTGGGTGTTGACAGTTCCATTACTGAACCATCAATGTTCCATGTGCTATAACCTCTCATGGGTATAAAAACAAACAAACAAAACAAAAGAAAAAAATAACTCTAGTGTTATGGGCAGGCATGAAGGGGAGGGGGATGGAGGTGGGAATGTTCTATAATAGGCTTACACAGATGTCTTTGGAAAAGAGAGCCAACAAAGCAACATGCACTTAAAGCAAAGGCTTGTCCTAAACCTTCTGTTGTTTGCCAAGGGAAGAAATCTTGGCTTGGAGTGAAATTTTCACTTCCTCTCTTGTGTAGATCTCTGTAAGACCTAAAAGCTTGGAAGACAGTCATTTTGATCCTTGGACTTTTCTAGAGACTCAAAAGATGCATCTGGACATGACTCCTGGAGTGGCCAAAGAGACTGTGGTTAAGAAAAGAAATATTGGAGTGAATTTTCACTCACTCCCACTTTTGTAGGTTTGGTAAAAACATATGGGTTTAGAAGCAAGATATTTGGCTTTTTCACATGACTCAAAAGAGGTGTAGATGAAGAGAAGCTCGATCATGCCGCAGATCTTCCAGAGTAACCTGGATGCGTCCCTAAATCTCCAGATCCTGGTCTTTGAAAGCCTGTTTAGGGAAAGAATTCATGATTGTCTCAAGGTTGAGAGGAAAGGGTTTGGGAAGCACCAAGGCATGGGTTGGCAAAAAGATTACACCATCATTGAGGAAATGAAATTTCCAGAGGTTTTCACTGAATCTGGGACCACAGGCAAAGGCCTGGATGAACTTCCTGTGTATTTCTATAGAGGTCTGTTATCTAGTTGTGTAGAGCCTGTTTCACAATTAGGCTCTTTCAAATCTGGTATGTTGATTTAAATGCATTATAAATAACTTCATAATGTTGCCTGACATATGTCTCCTATGCAAGGCTTTGCTCTGGGTATCCTGTTTGCTCGCTGTGTCTACTCAAGAGTCCTATACAAACCTATTTTAGAAACACCGCTTCAAAGTCCTTCCAGAGACTCTTCAAAATTAGATCTAGTGAAACCGCACCCCGTGGGGCATTGGTAGTTCAACCGTGGTGTTCTTGCCACCTACGCGGGAGACCCAGGTTCGACTCCCAGCCAAAGCAGGCCTTCTTACCCTTCATGCTCCAAGTTCATGCTCAAAGGGCTGTTACATTTCTATATTATACTACACAGGCTGTACTGCATTTAGGGGCCTTGGATTATGGTGGCTGGAAGCTAACCCGAGTGGCGGGCCACTTCTGGAGTATTCTCTGTGCTGGATCTAATCTCGAATTTATAGTTCCTTTGCTCAAAGCCTGTCTTTGAAAGTGGGGGTGTTTCCGGTGGGTTGCTGCAGTCTGGAATACTGGGAACCAAATAAAGCCTTTGCTACTTTCATCTAGTCTCCAGGCAAACCCCTAGGTAACCCAAAGGCCATCAGACGGATTCCCGTGATGGACTTTCCCCTCCATTAGGCGACATCTCACTATAGAGTGAGGATCAAGAAGTAAAGGTCCGAAGGAGAGAAGCTGCGGGCCGGGGAGACTCTTTGTTCTTCAGAGAGGCGTCGGCGGCCCAAGGAAAAGGGAGGATTGTGGGGAGGTATCTGCGTAGAGATGAGGGGAGCAGCAGAGACAGAGTCTCATGCAGAGATGTGCCCAGACACCCTGAACCAAATTACTTAACCTCGTCAACCACCGTGGCATCCGCGGCGTCCGTGGGCCCGTCGGTCTTCCAGGAGGGATTCTGTGTCCCTGTTATTGTGTGTCACAGGTGTTAGCCTGATATTCATATATATATATATATATATTTTTTTTTTTTTTTTTTTTTTTTTTTTTTGAGACGGACTCTCGCTCTGTCACCCAGGCTGGAGTGCAGTGGCCGGATCTCAGCTCACTGCAAGCTCCGCCTCCCGGGTTCACGCCATTCTCCTGCCTCAGCCTCCCGAGTAGCTGGGACTACAGGCGCCTGCCACCTCGCCCGGCTAAGTTTTTGTATTTTTAGTAGAGACGGGGTTTCACCGTGTTAGCCAGGATGGTCTCGATCTCCTGACCTCGTGATCCACCCGTCTCGGCCTCCCAAAGTGCTGGGATTACAGGCTTGAGCCACCGCGCCCGGCCGATATTTATATTTTTAAGGAGAGAAAACGAACTCCAGAATTTGGGAACTGTTTTTCCGGTTTTGCTTTATACCTCTTGGACACTCTTTCTGAAGGATTGGGTCTGAGGGGCATTGAGGTGTGACTATGGTAGACAAGGGGTGATTAATTTTCATCCAAAAATCTTTGGTGGATTCCCCGCTCTCCGGCTCCCCAGTCTAGCAGTACTTTAAAACAGAAGATCAGCAACATTTGGAGAGTTTTTTTCCTTTGCATTTTAATGATAAACTTAATTTATTCAATTCCAAAAGTTTTCTTATTCTGAAGTTGTCTTTCTATATTTTGAGTATAAAACAATGGCCATACTATGTTGGAACCACCAAGGTTCTTCTCTTCACTTGTTTATTTGTAATGTCTCTGTAATCTGAGAATTTCCTGAGTAAACTGGGTACTGTTACACAGAATTCCTTATTTTTGAACATTCTTTGTAAACAGGAATTAGGATTGGGGGTGGGGAGGGAGCGAGGAGTATGAGTCCTGATTTGTAGAACAGAAAATCATGGATTACTTATGTGATGGATCAAAGGGTTTAAAAACTCTCAGCATCCCCAGATTTCCCGTTACTGTTTGCTGAAGGAAAGTTCTGTCTTTGACTGCCTTCCTTACCCTCTCCTGGCCTGTGAGAAGCTTCCTCCTTATTCATTTTATTTCCTCCTCCCCTCTCCGCTCCCCCCCCACCCTCACCCCCCGCAGCCCCCTCCTCTTTTTCAGTGAAGCCTTTGGAGGAAAGTCCGGTTTGGGAGAAGACCCACACAGGCAAGGACAGCGACAGCAGGAGAACACTGACATAGTTACACTCTTGTCGCCAGCACTTTTATTAAGACATTGTGAAAAGACAAAGACAACAGAGGAGAGCAGAGAATAATGTCTCTGTTTCAGCTATTCCAGGACCGTTGTGCCAATCGTCCAGAGTCCTTGATCCAATGTAGTAAAGACTAGGGACATTTTCCCTGAAGGCTTTGATTGCTGGCAAAATCTCATTAAAGGTGTATACATTGATAGGTTGGCCACAGGACGGATAAAAGAAGAGCCCCTGGCCTACATCTGCCAAGATATATGTGTAAGAATGCTCTCTGCAGCATTATTTTTTTATTGTAAAATAGCAGAATGAATTTATTATTCAATAATTATAAAATGTTCAAATGTATGTGACTATATTCGGACAATGAAAAACGCAGCTGTTAAAAGTAGACAACACTGATGATTCAGATGTTACTGATGAAAATAATCACAGATGACAATTATTGAGCATTTATGGCACTTTTACCTGCATGACCTTATTTCAAGTTCAGAACAACCAAGGCAAAGAGTAACTTGTGGCGGGCGTGAGAGGTTCCGAGGCACAAAAGGAAGACAGGCATTCAAGGAACACGAGGATAGAAGACCCGCAGTAGGAGAAGAGAGAGGAAGAGGAGTCCGCCAGGTGGGATGCTGGAAGGCGCGGGATAGCTCGGCGGAGAGAGGGCGCTCCTGCTCCGCAAGCCGCCCTGCGACCGCAGGCCTCCCGCTGCCTTCTTCCAGGAAGACGGCCCTGCTTTCCTCTGGTCTCGGTTGAGACGCTGCAAAGCGCATCGTCCTCGAGCATTTCTCTTCTCCCCAAGACCCTCCGGAGGAAGGATGGGCGGACGGAAGCTTCACCCCTAAGTGGTCAAACGCGCAGAGCTCCGCATTCTTCAGGAGCATTTCCCAACTGTCTCTCACGGGTAAGAGTGGGCCCTGCAGGATGTTGCCTCCGGTTCCCTGAGGAGCAGTGCCGGAGATGCCCACGTGACCAGCTCCCGGGCCACGCGACCCAGGCCCTCCAGGAGGAGCAAGGAGTCCTGGGCCCTGAGCCAGCCCCCTGGACCGGCTGTGCCAAGAGAAGCAGCAAGGGAAGCGGTCCCCTCCCGCCTCAGGGTCTCTGTCCTCCTGGAGTTAAGAGACGTGCATCCAATCCCCTCTGCAAGTGCTGGAGAGGAGGCTAGGTCTTTCCCACGGGCTGGGGGCCTTGCTGTCCCAAGGACCGCTGGGGAGGAAGAGGAGGCAGAGGCGGAAGAGGAAGCCAGCTGAGATGTGTGAAGCAGCTCTGGCTACAGCGGGTAGGGAGAGGGCCCACGGGACCCAGGAGCCTCCGTGCGGAGCCAGGCCTCAGCAGCAGCCGCCTTGTTCCTGGAAGGGGTGCCTCCATCCATCTTGTCCTCAAAGACTGTAGGGAGACCTTCTTGCCCGTTGGGAAAGCGACGTCTCCCATGCTTTCCTACCACGCAGGCCTGGTGTCCTTTCTCCTGCTAGTGTCTGCCCGCCAGCCTGCCGGGGCTGCGGCGGCGGCTGTTCCACGCTCTCGGTGGACGCTGCCTGCCCGCCAGCCAAGAGCGCGGTTGCAGGCGGGAGTTGGGGAGTCCCGAAGGAGACCCAAGGTCTTGTTCAGTGCTTTTTTGCTATAGTCAAATTCAGCGTGTAAAAGAGAGCTCACGTCTGTCTGTTCGTGAGCTTCTGTGAGAACACCAAGGAAGCACACTCAAGATGCCTAGGAGGGCGGGAAGAGTCTCTGGCGGAGATATCCGCGTGGGCGTTGAGCCAAGGCAGGTGAGGAGAGTGCGCGAACCCAGCCGCCCGGTGGCGCGAAAGCCACCGCAGAGGAGGGCCCTGCCTGTGGGGAAACTGCAGGGGGCAGCGCAGCCGAAGTGCGGTGGACTAGCCTCGTCCAGGGAGAACCCCTTTCCTAACCACGGTCTGTACCCCGCCAGGTAAAGGGAAAGGAGGGACAGCACAGCCTCCTCTCCATTGGCCGGACGCTCAGGGTCACCACCTTCCCCTCTGCTCTCCCCTCGCCTTTCTTCCAAACCACTGTCCACTGAAGATTCCACCGACAGTCACCCACCCGACAACCCAGGCCGCCTTTCAGCAGCGGCTCCCGCCCGGCAGCCACCACGCCTTCTCACCCCCTCGGTTCTGCCCGCCGCCTCTGCCCGGTCTGTGCACTTCACCTCCCTGGCTCCGGCTCCCCGCTGAGCTTACAGTGGACGCGGGGCAGGACGGGGCGAAGGCCATTCGGCTGCCCCTCTAGCTTCGGAATCACCCAATGCACGGGTTTCCACCGTAGCCGGCAAGATGCGCCTCTCCTGTTTTCCGAGGTTTTGGAGCCTGCACAATTGTTCTACACAAGGCGGTGGCCCCGCCTAGCGTTGGATGGGCGCTTGCTCTGCATGGTGATGTGGGAGTGGGGGTTGACTGCCCGTGTGTCTCAGTCGGGTGGTGTGCTTGCTTCCACGTCTGGAGTTGGCTGGTTCGAGTCCGTTCTATGAAGTGTTTTTTTCATTTTAAACATTCTTAAACCGCTGGCAACTTTCTTCCATCCAGCACACGCTCTCATAGAAAAGAAGAGCCAGACCAACTTTACCCTCCTCTCCTCGGTGTCTACCGTACCATATGAGGACGTAAATCAAGGTCCGCTAGGATTCTGTTCTGGGATCTCTCCATCTCGCTCTCTCTGTGTCTCTCTCTTTGGTGACGGAGTCCCGCTCTGTCACCAGGCTGGAGTACATTGGCACGATCTTGACTCATTGCAACCTCCGACTCTCTGGTTCAAGCGAGTCTCCTGCCTCAGCCTCCCGAGTAGCTGGGATTATAGGCACGCTCCACCACGCCCAGCTAATTTTTGTATTTTTAGTAGAGACAGGGTTTCACCATGTTGGCCAGGATGACTCTTGATCTCCTGACCTCGTGATCCACCCGCCTCGGCCTCCCAAAGTGCTAGGATTACAGGCTTGAGCCACTGCACCTGGCCCTCTCTCTCTCTTTTTTTGTTTTTTAACTGTCATTCATGTAGCCCTTTCCATACGCTTTTGAAGTTAAATTGGTTCTATGATATTACGATTACATATAATGCTCTAGTCATTCCTGTAGGGGCATTTTCAGCCACTGGTGTAAGTATTTCTGTAGGATAGAGGTGCAATTACTATAGGAAGAGCAATTACTCTATCAGTGTTCACATGGTTTTTATGTCATTTCATTCTTTCTCCTCTGTTGGCTTATTGGCTTTAACTCTTTCTTTTGTTATTTTAGTAATTGCCTTAGGGCTTATAGCTACCTTTTTAACTGATCTCAACCTTCAAGTGATGTTAAACCTCGCCTTCTGGCCTTGACGCTATTGCTGACATGTACTTTGCTTTTACGCATGTTATAAACCCCACAACCCATTGTTAATTGCTTTTGTTTAAATGGTCAAATTTTTACAAAAGAAATTTACAAAATAAGAAAATACCCATTTCTGGTGTTCTTCATTTCCTCGTGCAGATCTGGATTTTCATCTGGTATTGGATTCCTTCTGTTGTACACATTGATAGAACTGGGAAACATATTGGAATATGATCTGTTACCGTTCCCATGGAAGATAAATTTGCAGAATGTACTCAAATTAGAAGCATTAAATAAATGCTGTAATTAAAAATGCCACATCCTGTTCTCTACACTATAGAAATATCTGCAGGAGTGTCCAAAGATATGTGTACAAGTATGGTAGAGATTGCAGCATCATTTGTAATCCTAAAACCATGAAACCCACCTCATTTCAAAAACATATTGAAAAGGGTTAAATAAACCATGCACAAACTGAGGAAGAAATGCTGATTTCACAAACAATGGCAAAGATCACCATGAGGCTGATTCTACTGTTCACATGTGATAGAGCAATCAGTTCTCCCCAGTTCAAGCGCTCCTCCTACCTCAGCCTTTCAAAGAGCTGGAACTACAGGCAAGTGTCACCACGTTCGGATCACTTTTGCACTTTTTTGGTAGAGATGGAGTTTTGTCATGTTGGCCAGGCTGGTCTTGAACCCCTGGGCTCAAGCAATCCACCCACCCCAGCCTCCCAAATGCTGGGATCACAGGTGTGAGCCACTATGCCCAGCCAGATTGTATTTTTCTCTGAAAAGATGGTACATTTACATGGTTCAAAATTCAAATAGGGCCAGGCATGAGTCCTGGAGTTCGAGACCAGCCTGGGCAAAAAAGAGAGAGCCCCGTCTCTATTTAAAAAAAAAAAAAAAAAAAAAATTCAAATAGTACAGAAAGTTATAAAGTTAAATTGGCATTTCTTCCATTCCTGTCTCCCAGTCTCACCCTCTAGGAAATCTGGGGGATGCTATTGCCTATGAATCCTTTCAGGGATATTTTAGAGTCTTGCTCTTATCACCCAGGCTGGAGTGCAATGGCATGATCTTGGCTTACTGCAACCTCCACCTCCCAAGTTCAAGTGATTCTCCTGCCTCAGCCTCCCAAATAGCTGGGATTACAGGTGTCTGCCATCATGCCTGGCTAATTTTTGTATTTTTAGTAGAGACGAGGTTTCACCATGTTGGCCAGGCTGGTCTAGAACTCCTGACCTCAGGTGATTGCCTGCCCAGCCTCCCAAAGTGCTGGGATTACAGGCATGACCTCCGCTCCTGGCCTTTTTTTAAAATTAATTAATTAATTTATTTATTTATTTATTTTTGAGATGGAGTCTTGCTCTGTCACAATTGTGGGATCTGGCCAGCAGCCCACAATGCAACGGGGCTCTTTCCTTGTTCCCAGATGAATGGGCAGGTCAAGAAATAATAGACATACACAAGATAGTGAAAGCTGGGAACAGGGAGGTCACCACCTTCTGATCCCATGATGCCGCCAATGTACTGGATATACCAGCATTTATTATTAAGTTTAGTGAGGGCAGGGGTAGGTTAGTGAGGGATTGAGGGTCATTTGATTATGAGGTGAGATGGTCACATGGGGATGAAGTAATTCTTTAATATAACATCTATATGCAGAAGTACAGTGTACAGAGATAATAATTTACAGTATAGTGTGTGCATCAGTAATTTCTAAGAGAACCTTAAGACAGAAACAGTCTTTCCATAACCTATGATTAGCAAGATATTAATCAGCAGTAACAGTTGCAGCAAAAGCTGGTTACAAACAATCCATAGAAACAGGACGTGAAGCTAGACAACCGGTTAGACCAGAAATTCTCAGAAGGGAGTATGCCTTAACCCTAAGAGGCCTAGAAGAGCAGTGGCAAGATGAGGGCATTTATAACCCTAGCTTATCCATATGAACAGGTGCCCCTCGTGTGTCCATTTATAGGCTCTCCACAAGGGTCACATTCCATTCCCAGAGCTATGAACACCTGCTTTTCTGGGATAGGAATCTTGGTGATGTGAAACCTCCCTGACTGCACCTCCATTCACAGGCTCTCTGCAGGGGGAAGCACATCATGTGCTGTTGTCTCATTCTGGCAGTCCAACCCGGCATTGTCTTTACACGAACCGCATGCAATTTTGTATTTACAATAATCAGGAGCATTTCATCTTTTATTCCGTAGCAATTGTTTCAGGGGGTCTCACTACATGTCACCCTTGCTGGAGTGCAGTGGCACAATCTAAGCTCACTGCAACCTCCACCTCCCAGGTTCAAGTGATTCTCCTGCCTCAGCCTCAGCCTCCCTAGTAGCTAGGACTACAGGCGTGTGCCACCACACCTGGCCTCTCTTCCCTTTTCTTTAATGCAAAACAGAACATATTATATATACACTTTGTTCTGTACCTTGCTACCTGTCCTTGATAGTTTAGGGACCATCCCTTATTCCTTATCAATATATAAAGAGCTTCTTTTTCATTGTTTTCCCCAGAGAGCTAGTATTCCACCAGATGTGCCTAAATTTATATAATCCATCTCTTACTGATGGGCCTTGTAGCAGGTAGACATAGTGGGTGAATTGTCTCCCAAAGAAGTATGTTCAAGTCTTAATCCCCAATACCTGTGAATGTGACCTTATTTGGAAATAGGACATTTGCAGAGAATATCCTCCTGGATTTAGCGTGGGGCCTAAATCCAATGATGGGCATCCTAATAAGGAAAGGAGAGGACACACATGGAAACACAGGGAGAAGGCAGAGATTGGAGTGACGCTGCCACACACTACGTGCCGAGACCAGCTCAGTCAGGGAGACCCTAACCCAGTGGTGCTAGAGGAATTAAAGACACACACACAGAAATACAGAGTTGTGAAGTGGGAAATCAGGGGTCTCAGCCTTCAGAGCTGACAGCCCCAGAGATTTGCCCACATATTTATTAACAGCAAGCCAGTCATTAGCATTGTTTCTACAGATATTAAATTAACTAAAAGTATCCCTTACGGGAAATGAAGAGATGGGGCGAATTAAAGGAATAGGTTGGGCTAGTTAACTGCAGCAGGAGCATGTCCTTAAGGCACAGATTGCTCCTGCTATTGTTTGTGGCTTAAGAATGCCTTTAAGCGGTTTTCCGCCCTAGGCGGGCCAGGTGTTCCTCGCCCTCATTCCCATAAACCCACAACCTTCCAGCGTGGGCGTTATGGCCATTATGAACATGTCACAGTGCTGCAGAGATTTTGTTTATGGCCAGTTTTGGGGCCAGTTTATGGCCAAATTTTGGGGGGCTTGTTCCCAACAACCAAGGAATGCTTGGGGCTACCAGAAGCTGGAAGTGGCAAGGATTCTGGCCTAGACCCTCTGGAAGGAGCATGGCCCTACTGGCATCTTGATTTCAGACTTCCAGCCTCTAGAACTGGGAGAGAATACATTCAGGTGGTTTAAACCACCCAGTGTGTGGTCACTTGTTACAGCAGCCCTAGCAAGCTAATACACAGGTAGACTTCTTTTGTTTTGAGATGGAGTCTTGCTTTGTTGCCAGGTTGGAGTGCAGTGGCATGATCTCGGCTCACTGCAACCTCTGCCTCCTGGGTTCAAGTGATTCTCCTTCCTCAGCCTCCCAAGTAGCTGGGACTACAAGCTGACGCCACCATGCCCAGCTAATTTTCGTATTTTTAGTAGAGACGGGGTTTCACCCTGTTGGCCAGGCTGGTCTCCATCTGTTGACCCATGATCTGCCCACCTCAGCCTCCCAAAGTGCTGGGATTACAGGCGTGAGCCACTGCACCCAGCCTTCTAAGATGGCCCTCAACGATCCTTGCCTCCTGCTATCCACACCCTCCACTTAGTGTGGACAGGACTTGTGACTTCTACTCACAAGACCCAGCCAAGGGATGGGATCGTTTCTGGAATTAAAACTACGACTGCTGTCTTGCCACAATCACATTTGCTGGCTTCAAGGAAGCAACTGCAAAGATGTGAACTACACAGAGGCCTATGTGGAAAGAAAATGAGGGTGACCTCTGTCCAACAGCCACGAGGAACAGAATCACACCCGCAACCACGTGAGTGAGCTTGGAAGCAAACCCTTTCCTGCTGGGCCTTAAGATGACAGTGTGGCCTCAGCTGACACCTTGACTGCAGCCTGTGAGAGGGCTGTGACCCAGCTGAGCTGCACCAGATTCCTGACCACAGAAGCTGAGATGACAAATGCATGTCATTTTGGTCGGGTGCAGTGGCTCATGCCTGTAATCCCAGCAATTTGGGAGGCTGAGGCAGGCGGATCACCTGAGGTCAGGCGTTTGAGACCAGTCTGGCCAACATTATGAAGCCCCATCTCTACTAAAAATACAAAAATTAGCCAGGCATGGAGGCGGGAGCCTGTAATCCCAGCTACCTGGGAGGCTGAGGCAGGAGACTCACTTGAACCTGGGAGGTGGAGGCTGCAGTGAGCTGAGACTGTGCCATTGCACTCTAGCCTGGACAACAGGAGTGAAACTCTGTCTCAAAAAAAATAAATAGGCTGGGTGCAGTGGCTCACGCCTGTAATCCCAGCAATTTGGGAGGCCGAGACAGGCAGATCACCTGAGGTCAGGAGTTCGAGACCTGCCATGGTCAACATGGTGAAACTCTATCTCTACTTAAAATACAAAAAATTAGCCAGACATGGTTACAGGTGCCTGTAATCCCAGCTACTCAGGAAGCTGAGGCAGGAGAATCGCTTGAGCCCGGGAGGCAGAGGTTGCAGTGAGCCAAAATCGCGCCATTGCACTCCAGCCTGGGCAACAAGAGCAAAGTTCTGTCTGTTAAAAAATATATATACACAAATAAAATAAATAAATAAATAAAATGTCTACCTATTTACAGGCTTTGTATGGTTGGCTTAAAAAAAAAAAGTATCTGTCTACATTCAAGCTGCAGTGAGCAAAAATTGGTCTTTTCCCTACTCCAGTCCACTCAGTCCACAGAGCATGGTATCCTTCTCACTCCCAGCTCATAGAAATCAACAACTATTAAGCACCTACTGTGTGCCCATGATGCATTTCAGTAGCTTTCAATCATCAATGTAATAAAGCCCCACCCTTGGCCTGTCATTCCTACTTGCCATGGCTTTTGTAAGCCATGTGGAGGGAATGGGACTTTTCATATATTAAGAGGGTCTTATGTGCCAAGGCCTCGCAGGGAGCGCTGCTCCAAAGCAGCAGCCACCCTGACTAAAAGCACGGATGCTGGAGCCAGAATGCCTGGGTTCAAATCCCAGCTCTGCCACTTACCAACCATGTGACT